GTTTCTGGTGGTGCATCCGGGGGCGCTGCCCCAAAACCTCGTACTCGGCACACGCGGGAATTATCCCGTTTGCAGCCAGGGTTTGTTTGCTCCGGAGGAAAACTCGTAGCCCTGATAAACCGATTTCCCAGGAAAGGGAAGGAAGCGTCAGGCTCCTTCGTGTCCTTGTTCTGCCCTGCGCTGCAGGAAAAGCGTTCTGAATGCTTCGCCCTGTGCTGTCCTTTCCTTTGGAGCTTTGCGCCCCTTTGTTGGAGGGGGATGGAAATACCAATTTTCTGTTTTAACAGATGAGGGAAACTGAGGCTGGGACGTGCTGGGACTCGCCCAGCAGGTCTGACACAGCCGGGGATAGCGGATGTGAGCAACAGATCCTTGTTCTAAAGCTGTAACTTACCTGAAACTTCTAATAAAACAGACAGTTCCTTACGTTTCTGTATCACCTCTTTTTCCGGAGGCTCCACGCTTCCCGTTCCGTGTAGCCAAGACTTTCTTCTCTCTAGACGTGGAAGGTGAGGGGCGGTGTCGCCCAAAAAGGGGTAGCAGCTGCTTCGAAGAAAAGATACTGCACCCCGTGGCTGGGAAGCTGTTTGTTTTCCCGAAATCCTGTGCCAATGCGCCGCGTGCCTGTTGTCCCGAAACGGAAGCCCCAGCCTGGCTTAACGCCCTTTCTGTGGTGTGGATCAGCCACGGTTTGCTTTGGCCAGAATCAGCCTCTTTATTACACCCATTTTGGTGGATTTGTGTGGATTTGCTCTTTCAAAAAGAGGAAAAAAAAAAAAAGAGGTAAAACACTTTTGGTGAATACTTTGACCCAGTAAGCTCTCGCTGTTGTTATTTGTGTGTAATTCCATTACACAGAACGTAGTTCTTGTGTGTAATTCCGTTTCCAGTGTCGGGATAACCAAGGTTTGCCCCTGAGCTGTGCTGGAGTTACACAGTTGAGGAATAAACGAGCAGCAGCCGACTCCTCTTCCCTTGGCACCGCATGGGGCCGGGTCTCGGCAGGGTCAGGGCCTGGTGGTGTTTCTTGAAGAGATGTTTTTCTGGCGTTTTTTTGCATGAAAAAGAGAAAAATCGGTGTGGTTTGATAGTGGCAGAAATGCAACTGGGCAGAGCGGAGCGTGGCAGCTGTGGAACAATGCCCAGGCACTGCACAAAGGTTGCTGCTGGAACTGTGTCCCGTTGAAATCCCAGATTAAGTTCCTGCCAACGTGCAGGATTCCTTCCCTCTGGGCCCGTGGTTCTGCTGCCAGACTGGTTTGATGTGACAACTTGTTTGCGTGTGAAACGCTCGGAACTGGGCGAGACGTGGAGAGTGACAATAAATATGGTGGGGAAAACCTGTGTGGAGCACTGGAGGGATGGGATGGGATGGGATGGGATGGCGGTGTGGCCAGGAGACTTCGGCTGCTCTGCCTGGGGGGGATGCCAGGCACAGTGCTCTTCCGTAAATCCGCTCCCTGGCACGCGCCACGGGGGCTCCTGGTGACCCACAGGCAGCCTGGATTGTTCCCTGCTAAGAAACCCGTGGAAAAGCTGGAAAACTGTTTTGTCACAAGGCATGGGTGGCCCCAAAGGGTGAACTTCTGAGGTTTTGTGGGACGCTGTGGGAGCAGTCGCGTTCGAAAACTTGTCTGCAAGTGCCCGCTGGGCGTTGGTGGGAGTGGTGGCGTGGGCATCGGGTGGTGTTCCGATTCGTATCCTGCAGACTGGATTTTCTGTCTGTGGCTCCCTGTGCCACGCAGGGAGCAGGAGCAGACCCTGCTGCGGTGGAGGAAGGTGTCGCAGTCCTGTTGACAAAATCTGGAAATGAGAAATTTATGATTACTGAGATTTTGGGGGCTCGGAAGTAGCAAGTCCTGCCCAGAGCCGTGGGATGTGCCTGGCACCCCTTGTGCCCAGGAGATGATAGGCAGGGCAAAACTGCTCCGTGCTGATCCTCTTCTGACCATCCAGGCTGGTGCGAGGTTATAAAACTCCCCATGTTTTGGACACTCCGTTGTCTGGACTCTTACTGGGATTTTTTGCCTTAAGGAGCTACCTAACGACGTTCTGGCTGTCCTTGTTGACATCTAGTTCACTTTTTTTTTTTGGTAATTTTTTAATCCAGAACACTCAGTAGAAGAAACCTTAACGTTTCCAGTTCTGGGGAATAGTTGAAGCAAGCGAAAATGGGCATTTCTACAAAGGTGGTATTTTTTTTAAACAATATCCCCCAAACCTGTAGCACCACTTGTTACTGGAGAGTTTTTGCTTCCCCTGCCCTGCTTTGAAGGCAAGAAAGGAGAAGGGAAGTAGCTGGTGTGTCTGGAGTGTTCTGCTCTCAAAGTGGAGTTTCTTTAGAGCTTTTTTCCAAGTGTTCCTTGCTCCGTGATCACCACAGCTTCTCACAGCCCTGGTGGTGGCAAATCGTGCCCCCGAAATGTGTGTTTTTAGCAGCAAGTCATTACACCCTTTACCCCACGTCCTTCTGCCCCTGGGTCCCAGTCGCTGCCACTTGGATGCAGGTGCTGTTTCATTTGGAGCGCTCGGTCATGGTAGCGGTGGAGAAACCTCGGGAAGCACGGGTGGCCCTTTAGTTTTGGGACACGTGGAGGTGGCAGGCCGGCCTGCCGTGGGTTTTGGGGAAGTGGTGGGGAGGGTGGAGCCCTGTGCCGGCGTTACTGGCTGCCTCACCCACGGGACTGCTCAGTCTTGGTGCTGCCTTTTGTTGTTGGTCTCTAACAGCCCGTTCTCTCTCCTTCCCCGCCCCACCGCAGAGTTCTACCTTGTAAATACTGTTATTTGTATATACTGTAAATGATGACATCGGTGGGCACTACCCGAGCCAGGGGCAGCTGGGAGCAGACACAGACACAAAGCCAGACACAGCACAAGCAGCGGCCGCAGGTAAGGGCAGCGTCCCTGGAAACCAGTTAGGCGGGAGGTGGAGACCTGGCCCAC